CAACAACATCTCTTTCTAGGCGTTTAACGATGCATAAGCAACAGGGCTCCATTAAGGAACATATAATCTCTTCCCATAACCAAACCATCGCCAGAGAAATCCTAGTAAACAACACAGAAATCATCGATAGATACAGCGATAGCAGGCGGCTTGACGTTTGCGAGGCACTACACATCAAGAAGTCAACACCAGCAATCAACAGCCAATTATTGCACAACTATATTCTACCCACCTCAAGACTCCGCTCCAATATAGAAGCATCAAGAAATATGGACCAATAGGCTTTCTACAAACACTTCTATTCAATACCCATTGTTTCTGTTCTGTCTTGTGTTGATACTTTTAATACCCTATTAATATCCCCTCTTGTTCTGTCTTGTGTTAATGCCACATCACCCCTCCCACCTCACTCAAATGTAGATATAAAATCAGAGATACGTAAGTTCTAATCAGTTGTGTATTTGTGAAGTCTTTGAAAATGTAATAAGTTTTACGAAACGCGCCCGTGTCGCGTCAGACTAGAAATAAAAATGAATTTTGGAGAAGTGATTTTTGATTTACCTCCAACAGTGAAGCGTAATGTACGAAAGATTGAGAAAATTCGTGTTAGAATTATTAATCTTACTTTTCGGTCATATTTAATAATATATATATATGTATATATATATATATATATATATATATATATATATATATATATATATATATATATATATATATATATATGCGAACAAGCCTGAATGGTCCCCAGGACTATATGCAACTATTGTCTGGGGTGTGAGTTTTCAGTTATATATATATATATATATATATATATATATATATATATATATATATATATATATATATATTATATATATATATATATATATATAATGTTGTTGAATATGACCGAAAGGGTAAGATTAATGATCCTAACACGAATCTTCTCAATATTTCTTACGTTTTTCTTCACTGTCGGGGGTTAATTGAAATATTAACTCTCCAAAGTTCATTTTCTCATTTTGTATTTATGGTCTAACGCCTAAAAGCGTTTCGCAAGGGCTTCTTACATTTTCCAAGACAGGTTTACACATATCATGTATCATTCTTATATTCGTTTTGGGTGAGGTGATATGATACAAATGCTTTTGGCTGAGGTGACAGAACACGAATCAATGGGTATAAATTGGATATGAAAACATATGAATGAAAGTAACTACAGAAGGCTTATTGGCCCATATTTTCTCTTACTGCTTCTTTGTTGGCTCGATATCTTGAAGTGGGAAGAATATAGTTATGCGTTAATTGGCTGTTGATTGCTGGTGTTGACTTTTTGATGTGTAGTGCCTCGCTGATGTCGAGTCTCCCGCTATCGCGGTGTCTATCGATGATTTCTGTGTTGCTTGTTAAGATTTCTCATGTGATGGTCTGGTTGTGAGACTAATATGTTCCTTGATGAAGCCCTGTTGTTTGTGCATTGTTAATCGCTTGGAAAAAGAGACGTTGTTGTCTTGCCTATATACTGAGATCTTTAGGGCATACAGTCCCCCAAGTAGGCATGTGAAGGCATAGACGACATACAAAGTTGACGATAGCAGACGCCCGTCCATCATCCGTCTAATACTGTCCATCACCCATCTAGCACGCATCTAGTACGCCTTTGAAGACAATAATTGCCAGTGATCAGTAGATACGTTAATAGTTACAAGCACCTTCCTCCTCTGCCACCCGAGCGCTCGTCTGATCCAATTACTGGGGCGGCCGATTATTTCCATACAAGGAGAGTTCCAATTATTTAATTATGTCGAAAGAGGAGATAAGGACGGTTAGGGTGGCCGGGGGAAGGGGGGGGGGGTGCAGGGACGGGAAAATTGTACAGGAAACCGTACGTATAGCGTGTAGGAGACAGTATGTATAGAGTGCAGGAGACAGTATGTATAGAGTGCAGGAGACAGTATGTATAGAGTGCAGGAGACAGTATGTATAGCGTGCAGGAGACAGTATGTATAGAGTGCAGGAGACGGGCTTCTAAACTGTAAAGAATGCCTCGTATGCGAATGATATTCTGTCAACCTGTCCTCACGCTTGATACCTCGTGTAGTATTATGGATTGTAGAGTGGTGGAGGCAGACTCTATACACGGATTGTAGAGTGGTGGAGGCAGACTCTATACACGGATTGTAGAGTGGTGGAGGCAGACTCTATATACAGATTGTAGTGGTGGAGGCAGACTCTATACACGGATTGTAGTGGTGGAGGCAGACTCTATACACGGATTGTAGTGGTGGAGGCAGACTCTATACACGGATTGTAGTGGTGGAGGCAGACTCTATACACGGATTGTAGTGGTGGAGGCAGACTTTATACACGGATTGTAGTGGTGGAGGCAGACTCTATACAGGGATTGTGCAGTGAAGAGAGGGTGATTAGTTCTGTAGTCTACAGTCGTAAAGCCTGCTTAAAGATCTTAGCTATAGTTATATGAGGCTTAATAAGAGAGTTGTGGGCTTACTGACCCTCCTGTGGTTCATAGGTCATAAGCCCAGCATATGACCTAGGACTGTATTTGACCTTAAAACTTTATACTGATCCAGAGCGTGTGTGACCTAGCTGAAGCTTCGAGCGTGAACTTGATAACTGAGGGAACTTGAAGCTGGAGTATCTGAAGACAAGTTCTTCACTTGGAGAGACAGAGGTGGACGGGTGGACGGGTCTTGTACGGACAGAACTGTATACACAGCTCCGTGTATCTGGTGATCTAGCTCGTCCTCTCCAGCAGCGTTCATACCGTCACTAAACTGATGTACTATCTTCCTCGAACCTAACCTAACCGAGGACCCACGGATAGAAAACGGGACATCACGTCAATTTTGCGAGGCGCTCTGATTTTGAGTCCATCAGCTTTTGGTCTTTTGGGGGATTTATAAGTCAAAATGCGACATGGTATTCGAGAGGACGGGTTGGGTGGTCAGCTAATTTAGGTCGCTGACTAGATCAGCAACGGGTTCATAATTATCATTATAAATAAATAAATATAAAATAAATATATTATATATTATAAAATAAATATATTTATTATAAATATATAATAAATATATTATTATAAAATAAATAAAAATATTATCGTCCTTATCGATATTTGGCCTCTATGAGCGATGAAATATTCCCGTGTATAACGTTTTCATGTTATGCTCAATAACAGTCAGCTCCAGTTTACACATCTGTGGCTCATGGTGCAGAGAAACGCCCCTATCTCTCCTCTTGTAGTCCACTACGGGCTCACCATAGCCCGTGCTGTTTGGAACTTTTTGTTCCAGGTAGCGAATCTTAAACAACAACAATCCTCTTGGTGTCCTCCGTCGCTCTCAGGTCTGGTGCCATCTTCACTGCCGTCAGTTGCTCAAGACGCTTAAATAAACATTACCATGGGAGTTGCTTTCAAGTTCTTGATCTTGCTCATAACCAACTGAAATTTAACCGTAAGATGGCACTGCTTAGTATGGAGAGAAATCAGGGGTGAAAGAGCCATATTAGGATGTCTGGCCGTACACATGACAATACATGTGCACTAGTGAGAGGGATTGAGCAGGGAAGATTAAGAGAGAAGAGAAGCGGGAAAAGAAGGGAGACATTCCTCCATTTCCTTTATACGAACTCTACCGTCTTCTTACCACGAAAAATAAACTATATGTTGAAACTTGCGACGGACTTCATCACCTCCTCGTTCCGGACAACACCGCCATAACCGCCACAAATCATCACCATTCTTCCCCCCGAAGCGTCATTACCGAAGACTTCTCCATCAGCGTTAACTCTCCGCTCTACTAAAAACACAATTCCGCCTCTCCCCCTCTCCAAACCATAATGACGACTTCGGAGCCTCTGCCAAGGAGAAACATGGTGCGTGTCGCCCTATCATGTAGCACCGCGCTTCCTTTCGGCGCGGCCACGGCAGGAGGAAGCGATCATCCACCCCCATCTGCAACAACAGTTACCTTTTGTCATTTAAAAGTGACTTGAAACGCCTCAAAAATAATACAAAATTGAAATCGCTTAGAGCACCGTAATCGCCAGTCACCCCTCAACACCGCATCAGCTAGCCAACAGAAAACGCGCGTAGACTCCTGGACGGTGCCTGGAATCGATGCCCCCTGCTGATTGGCCGCCATGTCGTCGAGGAAGGGGAGCGGCGCCCCCTGTGGCGCTGGTGCAGGGGGAGTCTTGGTAGGGGAGGGGGTCTACGAGAGAGGGAAAGCACAGAGGAGTCATTTTCCCCATAACAGCGTTGCTAGGGCCATCTTTTATACGACTTTTTTAGAATTACCAATAATTGTTGTGTTTCAGTTGGAAACACGTTCACAATACACTTGTCAACCATCTCATTATATGAGGATTGTGAGGGAGACACTATGCATCACTGGGGATATTTTCATGAGATGGCTAGATTATAGCAGCCCGCGAGGTTCTCCTCGACCTTGGCGACGCTGTTCCCACTTTCCAGCGAGATGAGGGTAAACTGAGGGGAGGGAAGATGGGTTGGCTGGAGCCGCTGTGTGGTGTTGACGGCTGCTGGAACTGTGGTGGTGACGGCCCGCTGGAACTGTGGTGGTGACGGCCGCTGGAACTGTGGTGGTGACGGCTGCTGGAATTGTGGTGGTGACGCCCGCTGGAACTGTGGTGGTGACGGCCGCTGGAACTGTGGTGGTGACGCCCGCTGGAACTGTGGTAGTGACGCCCGCTGGAACTGTGGTGGTGACGGCCGCTGGAACTGTGGTGGTGACGGCCGCTGGAACTGTGGTGGTGACGGCCCGCTGGAACTGTGGTGGTGACGGCCGCTGGAACTGTGGTGGTGACGGCTGCTGGAACTGTGGTGGTGACGCCCGCTGGAACTGTGGTGGTGACGGCCGCTGGAACTGTGGTGGTGACGGCCCGCTGGAACTGTGGTGGTGACGGCCGCTGGAACTGTGGTGGTGACGGCCGCTGGAACTGTGGTGGTGTCGGCCGCTGGAACTGTGGTGATGACGGCCGCTGGAACTGTGGTGATGACGGCCGCTGGAACTGTGGTGGTGACGGCCGCTGCAGCTGTGGTGGTGACGGCCTTGTTTGAACTACGGAAGTAACGACCGCAGGAGCAGCTGTGTGACGGGAAGACTTCTGGATCTGAAGCGATGAAGACTGCTCTGGAGCAGAACCCAAAACGTGGTTGTGGCGACAGTCTCGACTATTTGAGACCGTAGATAGAACCTTGATGTTGACCATAGCCAGAACCGTGTCGACCATGGCCATAACCGTGTCGACCGTAGTCAGAACCGTGTCGACCATGGCCATAACCGTGTCTACCGTGGCCAGAACCGTGTCGACCATGGCCATAACCGTGTCGACCGTGGCCAGAACCGTGTCGACCATGGCCATAACCGTGTCGACCGTAGTCAGAACCGTGTCGACCATGGCCATAACCGTGTCGACCGTAGTCAGAACCCTGTCGACCGTGGCCATAACCGTGTCGACCGTAGTCAGAACCGTGTCGACCGTGGCCAGAACCGTGTCGACCGTGGCCAGAACCGTGTCGACCGTGGCCAGAACCATGTCGACTGTAGTCAGAACCGTGTCGACCATGGCCATAACCGTGTCGACCGTAGTCAGAACCGTGTCGACCATGGCCATAACCGTGTCGACCGTAGTCAGAACCGTGTCGACCATGGCCATAACCGTGTCGACCGTAGTCAGAACCGTGTCGACCATGGCCATAACCGTGTCGACCGTAGTCAGAACCGTGTCGACCATGGCCATAACCGTGTCGACCGTAGTCAGAACCGTGTCGACCGTGGCCAGAACCGTGTCGACCGTGGCCAGAACCGTGTCGACCGTGGCCAGAACCGTGTCGACCGTGGCCAGAACCGTGTCGACCGTGGCCAGAACCGTGTCGACTGTAGTCAGAACCGTGTCGACCGTGACCAGAACCGTGTCGACCGTAGTCAGAACCGTGGCCAGAACCGTGTCGACCGTGGCCAGAACCGTGTCGACCGTGACCAGAACCGTGTCGACTGTAGCCAGAACCGTGTCGGCCGTGGCCAAAACCGTGTCAACCGTGACCAAAACCGTGTCAACCGTGACCAAAACCCTGGAAATCGACATTGACCGGAACTCTGGCTATGACAGCAGGTGGGACTGAATGGAGATCGTACACATGTACACATTCCATAAATACAACGATTAAATTATAATATAATAACCATTATATTTATTATACGAAGCAAATAAACTGGCTAAAAGTAACATTTCCGACCCCAGGAGTTAAAATATCCATAAACCCCCGTACCTACTGAGTCCCAACATCTGACAGGAGAGACACAGAGAACGTTCCCGGAGAACCCGAGGGACAAACTGTTGGCTGATTGCTTCAAATTCTTGAAGCAATCCACATAAAAATAGAACAACCCACCATAAATACCCAAATTACGGAACGATTCACTCTACCCACCATGAGACTAGGAACATGAAGATGCCAACATAGAAGACACTGCTCAACATGCTACGCCCACATATATATATATATATATATATATATATATATATATATATATATATATATATATATATATATATATATATATATATATATATGTATATATATGTATGTATGTATGTATGTATGTATGTATATCAGCATACTATAAAAAGAACTGACAAATAAACAAACAGATTTGGAGAGACAATCTTACATATTTGCGCATCACCGCTCCCCGCGCGCCAAGTCTCAGGAGACTGGCTTAAGTATGTTCTCACCTATACTCACCTAGTTGTGTTTGCGGGGGTTGAGCTCTGGCTCTTTGGTCCCGCCTCTGCAAGATGTGCTTGCAGGGTCGCGCTAGGCTCCTGACCCTTATGAGTGTATGTGTGTGTGTGTGTGTGTGTGTGTGTGTGTGTGTGTGTGTGTGTGTGTGTGTGTGTGTTTGTATTTACTATTTGTATATTATTATTATATCTGCAAAATCAAGCTATTAGCTCTTGGACTCCGCCTTTCTAACCAACAGTTTCTAACCATGTGTGCGTGTGTAATTTTACCTTCATTTAAAAAACAAATGATGCATATGATAACGTTTGTAATAATTAACAAGGTCGACAAAGACATGAACGCGCAGAGTAGCCTCGCTCCTTAAACCTGATTGAATGAGGCATGTTGACAATGATAATTAGACGACCACGTGTGGCTTATCTCATGAGTAGGGCGGAGCCAAAGGCCACGACACCTTACCTTCACCGACGACTAATTCTGCCGGCGACAAAAACCGTGAACAAACACTGGGGAGAAAAGTAACGTTTGCTCTCAATGCCGAGATGGAAATGGATGTGGTGGATCGCGAGCGGGCGGGGAGAGGTGATGGCAGGGCTAAGAGAGTGTTGTTTCTAGAGAGCTGTTGCTGCAGCCCATAGATGATAGATTGGCGACGAGAGAGCCAATACCTGTCGGTGATTCCGAGGATCAACGTCCCAGCGGCTCTGTCTCTGACCAGACTTCCTGGTTATTGGACTGGTCAACTAGGGGGTTAATTGTTGACTTGCGAAGAATGTACGAGGGGGGGGGGGAGACAAGGAAGCATGGGGCAAATGCCGGTAGGAGAGAGTGATTTACTAGTCTGTTTAACGGGATCTTCTTGAGGTTATCTTGAGATGATTTCGGGGCTTTTTAGTGTCCCCGCGGCCCGGTCCACCCCCAGGAAGCAGCCCGTGACAGCTGACTAACACCCAGGTACCTATTTTACCGCTAGGTAACAGGGGCATAGGGTGAAAGAAACTCTGCCCATTGTTTCTCGCCGGCGCCTGGGATCGAACCCAGGACCACAGGATCACAAGTTCAGCGTGCTGTCCGCTCGGCCGACCGGCTCCCTTAGTATTATATGTTTACGAAACGGGTGGCATAAGAGGGATGGGGAGCAGAAGGCAGCCTAAGGCAAAGGACGAGGGTAAAAGGACTTCCCGGAGTGTCCGCAGTTTACCCAGAGGCTTGAGTGATCGCCTCCTGGTGGGGTAAATTGCTTGTTGGAGTCTTCCTGCTTACCCTAGCGCAGGGTAAACAACGTCTGGGGGTTAGTAGGGAGGGGGATGGGTAGCACAGGCGGGACGTAGGGGAGGGTGAGAGGCGGTGTCTGTAGTGCTGGCATACTTGGCCAAGTATTCTTAACAGATGCATCCATTCATTCACACTCCCGATTCACAATTGTATCCTCCCAGCATTCACTCCTTGATAATCATCATATTCATTGAACAAATGTATAGTCTACACAGTCTGTCTACACAGTTTACACTGTTCACAGTCTTCACAGTTCATTGAACTGTGTAGTGTCATCATATTCTTTCATTCTTTATCCCCTAAACTTATCCATATGTACCCCTTATCAGTCATTTATACCCCAAATCTTCATTCATATCCCCCAAGCGTTCATTCATACCTCCACTCACACACTCATAAAGTATACCTGCTGGTCGGTTACTTTAGTACGGAGACATTAATATGCCTCCAGTGATAGATAGGCTTTTATAAAGACCGGCTTTAACGGTAAACACAAGTATAGAAATTCCTAAGGGAATATATTATTAGTGGGACTTTATATGATATAGTTCCTTTGACTCACATTGACTGTTTAATTACAGTTACTATAATTAATGTTATTGTAAACTAGTATACCCGCGATGCACTTGGGTCCCAGACGGCATGTAAGCAAATAAATACACGGCTACTCAGCAGTAAGTTTCCTAATGTTGAGAATATTAACCTTAGGAAATAATAGGAACGTAAGTTTTCTTAAAGGTTTTAGTAAGTTGCGTGCTTATTTTACAGTTTATTTGTATAAACAAGATCAAGAATATGATTTTTAGAGGGAAACCATGTAGAAAACGGATCACAAAAAGCTGTTGAAAACTACGCTAAATAAGCCGCATAGAAAACGGCTTATTACTCTTACCGTTGTCATTACGAGGTTAATAACTGTTGCTTTTACTACTACTATTGTCATTACTATTACTCAAAATTGAAAGAAACGGTTATTTTTTTTCGGGAAAAAAACAAGGCAGATATGATCACCACATACGAAGTCCTCAAGGGAGCAGGCATGGCAGATAAGAACAGACTACGTAGTATGGCGGGGACACAAACGTGGGAACACATGGAAACTGAGTACCCAGATGAACCACATATAAATGAATGTGTTCAGTGTTCAAACAGCGAACAAATGGAATACTTTAAGAAGTGGAGTAGTGGAGGTAAACCCCCACACACAGCTTCAAATGTATACATGTATACATGACGCTCCCCAGTAGTCGATTAAGAGCAGGAAGACCGGACCAAAGAGCTGTTGCTCACCCCTCCGTCCCGCACAAGTTCAACAGGGTGAGTACATTCTTTATTTTTTATTTGGTCTCCTAATTATACATTCGTCCACTCACCCCTCTATTCATGTATTCAATATTTTGTTCGCCTACATATGTTGTTACGTGTTTCATACATTCTTCCTTTCATTTATTCATTCACCAATCTTTCCCAGCCTTAGTCCTCCCTTTCATTCATGCGTCCATTTCTCGCCCTCGACTAGGCTTCCGCTGGTTTTTGTGAGGTGGCGGCAGGCGGGTGCCAGGTGGGAGGGCGGGAGACGGGGGAGCGGGAGGAAGAGAGGGGTTAGGGGAAGAGGAGGGGAAGGAAGACAAAGGGAAGAAGGGGCGAGAGGATGATGGAGGTGCCACGTACAGGTGGAAGGTGTTTGGGTAGCATGGTAGTGCCAGTGTCCCGGTGAGACGGTACTGGCTCCACTGGGTGACATGCCACCTGCCACCTGACACCGTCTGCCACCTGCCACCCAGTCTGCCTCTGCCACCTACGGCCCAGTCTGCCTCGGCTACCTGCCGTCCTATCTGCCACCAATTGGCTCTCTCTGCCTCTGCCACCTGCCGCTTCTTGATGGCACACTTCATTTCCACTTATCCTCCCCAACATTTTTCGTGTCTCCGGTTCTTCACACAAGATTGCCTCTATTCATTCAGTAGTAAATAGGTACCTGGGAGTTAAGCAACTGTTGTGGGTTTCATCCTGGGAAGGGTCAGTTGTTTGCCTAAGGAGGGGGGGGGGGGCTGATACACTCTCTCTCTCACTCCCCGCCAGGCCTAGACGCGGTACTCACCTAGTTGTGCTTGCGAGGCTTGAGCTTTGTCTCTTTGGTCCCGCCTCTCAGGTATCAATCAACTGGTGTACAAATTCCTCAGCCTACTGGGCTCTATCATATCTACATTTGAAACTGTGTATGGAGTCAGCCTCCACCACATCACTGCCTAGTGCATTCCATTTATTAACTACTCTGACACTGAAAAATTTCTTTCAAACGTCTCTGTGACTCATCTGAGTACTGTACTAAGTTTCCACTTGTGTCCCCTTGTTCGTGTCCCACCCGTGCTGAAGAATTTGTCTTTGTCCACCCTGTCATGTGTATGGAAGTGGGTGACGTGCCTGTTTTTGCCACGTGAGCGACTAGTTTAGTGAGCATGGTGGGTTCCCAGTACTGTTCAAGAACACGCAGATTTGTCCATTATGGTCAAAGTACGATAGGTAGATTTTTAAATTTTGATATCATAGGCATATAACGTTTCAAGGCATAACAAACAAAAATGGAATTCACAGTCAAGTGAATGATATTCTGAGATTTTTCATGGGGGGAAAGTTAGGCACAGTGTCACGTGGCACCCTTGTCTTCGACAACTATCCCGCAACACGCCCATTTTGGGTACATACCCACCAGCATATACTGGGAAAATTTGGTGAAGCTAACCCTAAGCCTCTGGCCTTCAACGTTGGAAAGGCAGACACACAAGCATTTCCATTTATATTTAAGTTAATCATAGCATAGAGATGCAAATATATATTTGTTTGCCTATGTAACACATATATATATTATCAGTATTTCTTTGAATAAGTAAACTTGACAAAATAGTTTACTAACAAAGCATTTTTAGCGTTCTAAAGTTTCTTGATAAAATCTCAGGAAGATAAATTGGTGAAACATTCAATGAGCCGAGATCCTATTGTGCGTTTAAGTCTTTCCCATCAAGATGTTTACAGTCTGGTGTGTACGTAGGAAATGTGAATTTATACT